TTGTGTTATGGAATTTTTTTTTGTTTGTTTGTTGGTCTGTAATTTTGTATTAGATGTGCTTACTTATTTTTGATTTAGTATTTTTGTTTGTTGTTTGGGATTGGCTGGGTTACTGGCTGCCCTCGTTTGGGGAGATACGGGACCCCTTCTTTTGAGCTAAGGGGACACTCGTATCCAGGTGGGTTGATGGGAGCCTCCAATTCTTACCTTATAAGTGTATTATTCGCATAATCTCGATATTGTCGACAAAATCCTAGTCTTCTAACGATTTAGGAAACTGAATGGCTCATGCCTGCTATCTGCCTGCTACCGAATGCCTGCTATCTGTCCGCGATCAAAGGTGTCTAAATCACAAGTTTTACTCATACTGGCAATTTAAACAACTGATTAGCAACAACCATAGTACTATCTATATACTATGTAGTTACCACAATGCCCTCACATCAGCATAAATGTGGCGAAGGGCTACACAGTTTCCATAGCCACGTCCATCCCTAATTCAGTGGTGTTATTTGTATTTAAATTTAAAGGAATTATAAATACAAATCCGTTATTACACTCATATCCATAAATTAAGGATAATGCAAAATCATGCAAAGGAAGAGTCAGAAGCAAAATAAATTTGACTTATTTGTAAAACTTAATTATTAAACAAAAGGTAAAGAGCAAAAAAAAAAAAAAAAAAAAAAAAAAAGAGGCTATATGTTTGATATTAAAAAAAAAATTAGCGATTTTTTCTTCCTGGAGCAAATTACAAAAAAAAAAAAAAAAAAAAAAAAAAAAAAACCTATTTACAAAAAACCAATATTACATGATTGGTATGATTGCTAATACGTTGTATGTCTCCCAGACGATGCAATACAGTCCGTACAACGCCTAGGCATGCTGAGTATCAAATTATCGATCTTATCTTGGGGGATATTACAACACTCAAAAAACAATGCTCTCCGAAAATCCGGTAGACATGTAGGAGGAGGTTGACGGGCTGCAACTCGTCGGCCAAGCATGTCTTACACATGCTGTACTGGATTCAAGTCCCGTGAGAATCCTGGCCAGTCCATACGGGTGATATCGTCCGTTTGAAGGCATTCGCTTAAGATGTTTGCACGGTGAGGACGGGCGTTGTCATCCATAAACACAAATTGTGCGCCCATGGCGGCCCGAAACAAACGTACATGTTGATCCAGAATGACATCCCGATAGTTTTGGCTTGTCATGGTTCCAATTTGAACATGCAGGTCAGTTCTGTTCTGGAACACAGAATAATTCCACCCCAAAAGAGCACTCCTGCACCACCGTAACGGTGTCGTTCAATGATGGTTTTTTGGTGGTAACGGGTTACCTGGAGCTCTCCATATGAAAGTCCGGCGAGAATCAGACTGCAAGCTAAACTTGGACTCGTCGGAAAACATCACACAAGCCCACTGTTGCGGTGTCCACAATGCATGCTGTCTACTCCAGGCTCCGCAGGCGACAATGAGTTGCAGTAAGTGGAACGCATTTGACAGGTCTACGAGCATATAGACCAATCTGCCCTAAGCGTCTGTATACGGTCTGCCTTGAAATTGTCGTACCAGTGGCTGAAGAGGGCTGACGAGACAGGTCTGAGGCTGTGCTCCGCCTATTTCTTTTGGCAGTAGCTGCCAAATATCGGTCCTCATTCGGCGTTGTAACTCTGGGGCGACGTGTGCTGTAACGTCTACTCACATTACCATCATCTTGGAATCGTTGCCAAAGCCTGAAGATGAAACTCTGGGCAATTCCAAGTTCGTCTGATACTTCCAGTTGGGTACGCCCACATTCCAGACGGCCGATAATTCTACCACGTAAAAAATCATCCAAATGCGTCTTTTGAGTCATAACTATTCGGTTATTGCACTGAAATGCTTATAAAGGGCCTGCGAACAATTTTGCTTCTTTGCTTGTATTCCTTATATATCACTCTCTTACACTCTCGTCATTGTGACGTACCATCGGTGTCATCTGGTTACTTCCTGAAATTTGCATACGATTCTTGAAGATGTGTGTAGTGATTTTACAGGTGATATATTTATTTTAGAGTTCGATTTTCGCGTGACTCCGAATTAACCTTAATTTATGGACATGAGTGTATTTTACAACTAGTCAAAATGCTGTTAGTTCAACATAACAGCGGAAAAAGAAATGAAGGATTTTCAGTAAAGTGAGAATATATTATAGCTCATAAAATTCCATCTACGGGCATAAAAACTTTCAAGTATGGTGCAATGTAATAACATGGAAGTCTCAGTTTCTTGAAAACGACATTGGCAAAACCAGTTTCTCATAATCCTTATGCTAATGTTGCGAAACAGTTAACGGTTTTCTTTGGATGTAAACTTTTTAAGCTTCGTTACTTTCTTATTTATGTTTCTTATCCTTGTTCCTCGTTTTCAGCAAACCGTAACGAAATTTGAGGATGGAAAGAGCTGTAATAAGTTTAAAAAGAAGTATAAGCATCTGACTGCAGACACTGTAGAATTTCTCCTAATTCGCTTTATAACTATAACCACTGAGGGCGTTTCACTTGGTAAATTCAATTTATTTAAAAAGAAATTTAAGATGGTTAAATCTGATATGAAAATACTTTTGTCATTGCTTCTCTTTTATCTAAAATTTTCCAAACTATTTATTAAAGTTAATAATTATGGCATCATGACAGGCACTTCTAAACATATGCATTCAGCTCCCGATTATCCGGCGGTGGATTTACAGGGTCGCGAATTCACCGACAATGTTAAAGAAAAAGGTTAAGTTTGTTTACTACGGAATAATAACGCAATTCCTATCCGCAAAACATCAGCATAAAACAAAACTGTCAGCGAGAAACACAGAAAGAGAGAGAAAAATCCGTGGGTAACAGCAATAAGAGCAAGGGGATATTTGGAGCTTGCTTTTAGCTTTTATCCATAACATACGCTATTTAATTATACAGAATCTTAAATATTTAAGCATTACATTGTTTAAAAAGACAGAGATAGATATTTTTTAACAATAACTATGTTTTTAATAATAAGTAAGTTCTTTGGTAAATATTCCTCTTATATTCCTCTATTTACTCAATGCAATTTATACGTTAGTTTCTTCGTTCCTAATTATATAGTTACGAATTTTGTACTTAGATAAGCAAAACTTTTTTTTTTTCTTTTTTTCTGTATAATGTTGAGTGAGACAAATTTTAAGAGAAAGCTATGCCAGAAACGTAAAAATACAGGGGCAAGTGCATTTAACATTGCATAAATGAGTATCTCGGTGATTTGGCGAGATATCGCCAAGCTGACAACGATTTTGGCGACTTATTTTGTCACACATTTGGCAAAAAATTGCCAAAATTTGCCAAATTTGGCGACATTTTAGTCCCGTCCCTGTATCACCGTAATATGTATTGAAATTGAATAAATGTAATTGACTGATATGTTAGCTGTAACCGTAATTCCACTTTCGTAATGCTTTCCAGTAATTTCGAGAAGCAGAAAAGACTAGAAATATTTCGCGGCAGGTTGAAAACTATTTAAGCTCGAAGAGAGAACCTCTGCTCTCAGTTGCTTATTTATTGTTGTTGCGATTTGTTAGTTTTGCATGAAGCTACCCGAATTAGCTTTCTCTTTAAATGCGCTTTGCATTGCATTGTGTTTAACGTTCTTAGTAGTTTAATTCATAACTACTGATTGTATACTTTGTGATACTGTGAACATCTGTACGAGCATTTCTGAAGAAAATTCCAGAAGTTTATTTCTGTTGATAAACTAAATAAAATTATGTCCTTACCCAGGCAGCACGTCTCCAAAAATATACGTATAATTTTGGTGAAATAAGGGTATGGTATTTTTTGCACGTTACTTTTACGAAATTTATACGAATGAAAACGGCTGAAGTTACTGTTGACTCTTGATCGTTATTTTCCACACGTTGTTTTTACGAAAATTATACGAATCCGAATGTCCTGATAAAACTACCGCCATGATGGTATATTTTATTCGTCACTTTTACGCATATTATACGAATCCGAATGTTCTGAAAGAAACTACTGCCTTTATGGTATATTTCATTCGTCACTTTTACGGATATTATACGAAGTCTAAAAAGATTGAAAATGAAGTTTATTAATTCAAAATATTTAGTGTATTTCTGGCATTTCACTTTGTTTTCCTTGTCCACGAACATGAAAAAAGGGGCATTCATATATGAGGCTAAAATTTTTCTATAAATTTTAACATGTGAGCTAAATCTTTACGTGCATTTTTGCAAAAAATTATATTTTCTTAATTCAAACATCTTCAAAATAACTTATTTATTTTCTTATATCAAATTTGTTATTTTTATTCATATCAACACTTACATTAATTTACACAATTTAATTTCTTTTATGAAAATCCTATTACCCATTTAACTGGAATAAGCATGTCGAGGAATAGAATAATAAATACAACAGAAGATGCTCGAAAACGTTTAACTTCTTGAGCAATAGTTTAATGTAGACCAAAGGATCATTAATTATAATCAAAGATATACTAATCAAAATCGTAAATCGATATACTAATATTTTTATTTAATAATAATAATAATAACTACGAAATTGCAAGCTGAATCCTGATATTTTACATATATTTCAGTTCCTTTAATCTTTGTTATAAAAATCATATGAGGCTAATTTTTTTAAATTTTGTTTAATGTACGGAAAAAATGATATAGCGATTTTAATAATTTTTATATGAGGAAAAAATTAATAAATAATGTAAATAAATAATTATATTATATTTTATATTTTTCCTGAAACAGTTAAAGACATTCTTAATATGGAGATCTACAGAATAAGTACAAGGGTCCAGTTAAATGAACTCAAAATTTGCATAGTTAATTTTACGCTAACTTATAAAAATTAACCGGATTTACGATTATACACTGAGCATGCGCATACACAGACATTTCTATTTTTCGTAGAAAAATTTAATTATTACCTTAATACAGAGATGCTGTGAATATAAATTTATATAATGCAAAAGTAAGTTTATTTCATATGCTAATTTAGAGGCTTTCTTAATATGTTTAATTATAAAGAAAAAAAAAAAGCGTTGCAATTCTTGTTCACTGACCAATGGCAAAGCAGACACTTTCTACTTCCGGTTGTGGCGGGATATTTGTGAAGTCAGCACTCAGCAATGGCGGTCGAAAAGAATGGTAAAGTCGCAAAGAATACTGTTTGTTCGTGGATTGGCGTTTGTGACTGAATCCATCGAAGTTACTAATTATTTGAAGAAAGTAAGTGAATATTTTATATTTTCAGTGTTTAATAATACTCGTACTTTCTTCACCTATATATAAAATTTTATAAATAGCGTCTGTGTAGGAAATGTGATTTTCCATGTGTTGTTCTTTTGTGTACGTGCCTAATGATTCATTTTCAGGATTTGGTACTGTTAAATTTTGCACTAGTCTGTTTCTTACTGTTTGTGTCACTCCTTTTTGTATGTGTCTCACCTTTTTATAGTTATATTATTTTTACTCAAACGTTTTAATATTTATCTTAAAGCATACTGTAATTAAGCAGGAAATAGCTTTTAATGGAAAAAGAAAGGCAATATTAACATGACTAATTGTTCAGAAATCTGTTCTGGAAATATTATCTACCTTATGCCAAAAAATAAAGCATGTAACTTTCATTTATTTATGAAATTCAAAATTTTTTTATTTGCTTAGTGTTTTCCCTAAAAATAATTTAATTTCTTATTTTTGAATTTAGTTTTATAAATTTGCTTTAATATATAATCTTTAACTCAAAGATATTGTGCTATTAAAACAGGAAATTTTATGCAATAGAAACACAGGTACTTTGTTCCAAATCTACTGAATTTTCATGCACTTGTAATTACTGAAATATATCCTTTCATGAATGCATTTCTTTTTTGTTTGTTTGATTTTGTTGTTTTAAAAGATTAAAAAAAAGAAAGAAAATAATAGTTAAAGTAAGAATGCTTTACTTTCAGTTTTGAATAAATTTATTACTATTACTGCAGCTCTAAACATAATTTTCGAAGTCAAAACTTGATAGATATGTTGACTATTAGACTTGCATGAAACAATTTATTGAAAAATTAGTATTTGATCTAAAATACCTTAAATTATTTGAATTATATTTTACTAAATCATGTATTTTGATATAACTAGATAGTTAAAAAAATTAAAATTGTAAATGTGCAGAAATGCTTATATAAAACCAAGAAATTGTTTATATTTTGTTTTTTGCTTTTTCCCTTGTAAATTAATATATATATATATATATTACAGTCTGGGCAGTCAGCACCCTGCTGAATTGTAGTAAACGAGACGTCCAATCTACTAGACCATCAAAGATGCAGATTTGGATTTTCTATTTCATAGTTATTGAAATCATAATGGTATGTTTGTTTAAATTAGTACTGTTTATGAATGTGATAAAAATAAATTCTGATAAGCTAAGAAATGATTTATTTTCTATTAATTATGAATTGTAAATAATGTAACCAATTTTCTTCATAGTATTTACTAAACATTTTTTTAAAAAAAAATGGAGGTAGTCTTATTTATACAATTCTTGCAGAGATACCAAGAAATAAAACATTTCAGGAATTTTCACTCAGTATATCTTGATGTGTAAAATCATGTTGTTCAATGCCATATTACTTTTTCACAGGAAAGTAATTTTATTGATCTAACATCTGCATAAATCAAACTTTTTTAAGAATGATTACAGTTTCTAAGCTAACTTAAAATTTTCAGATTTAGAAAATGTATGTTTAATGTAGCATTAGTTTTCCATGGAATAGAAAAGGTTTTCAAAATGTTCAGTTGTTAGAGGGAAATAATATAAATGAGATTGTCCTGATACAGTTTCAGCTGGAAATGAAACTGAATTTTCGGATAGTGAAGATTTCATTTAAGCTGATTAATGTAAATCCTCTGCATTTAAAAATTCTAATAAAACTGATTAATGTAAATCCTATGATTCATGTAGGTATTCTTCTGTTATCAGGACCAGATTCAGAAATGTGTGTCTATATGCATGCATTTTTAAATGTAGGTGCTCGTGTGTGTATACTTATACACATATATGCGCATACATGCATATACACATGCTTACATATCTACAGTAGAACCCCGAGATACGAGTTTAATTCGTTCCAGCATTCCAGCATTCAACTGGTATAGCGAATTTCTCGTATCTAGAAACAAGCTTCCCCAATGAAAATAATGAAAATTCAGTTAACCCGTTCCACACCCCAAAAAATATCAACATTTTAATATCAAGTCAATTTTTCCTAATAAATAACACTGGTAAATAATATAACAATAGTTTAACTTTGTTACCAACATTTTAACTCCTTCTCATTAATCCACACCAACAGCTTCTCAACATCTAGGAGTACTTTTATGGTGCTTGGAAGCAACGATAATTCCTTTGGCTACATCAGGTTTCTTAATTTCTTCCTGCTTCTTCAGAATAGTATAGATTTTCGATGTTGAAAGGCCGCAAGTCTTCGCCAATTCCGTCACCATGCTTATGTTTATCTATGATTTCTTTCTTGATATCGACGGCCATGGCCTCCTTATTTTTCTTTGCAGCACTATCTGAGGCAACAATCTTCTTGCGAGGCATCTTGAAATAATTATTTTCACGTTAAATGTCAAAACAATTAACTTACAAGTGCACAAACACGTATATAAAAGAACACTGAGTGATCTGACGAGGGGATTCCCCGAGTTGAGCCGGATAGGGAAATGGCGCCACCCATACCAATAGCCTGGCTCATTGCTCGTTACTCGAATTAATGCTCGTGTTTTGCTCATACTTACCTCGTATCTTGAGGTTTCATTGTACATTTCTGAATCCCGTCCTAATAACAGAGGAGTACCTTTGCCAGTATTGCAACAGAACTAGAATGAATTGTGTTAAATATGTGGAAAATGCATGCTTAAAGTACTGTTATTTTCTAAAAATATTCTGTATGTCTATTTTTTACAAGAAGAAAAAATAGCTAAAAGCTGTTAATTTACTCGTATTTATTAGTCCAAAGGGGCTTTGTCCCTAAAGAACTATTGTTTTTGTTTTGCATTGGTTCACTATAAATATCTGTTTCACTTTTCAAACTGTTCCTACCAAATGTTAGAGTCCCTAGTGTGGGATTAATACTCTCTAGTCTTAGTGCCCTACTTACCTATAAATATTGTTAAAAAAATTTAAACTAGTTTGGCTGTTTATATGAGAGTAAGTATATTTAAAATAGCTGCATGAATGAAGTAGAGGTAAAAAGCTTCATGTACGGATCATAAATTAATATTATGTGGGAATTTTTCATTTATTTAAATAAAGAAAATATTCAAGCCACAATTAAAATTTTTTCACTGGATTATTTGCATACAAAGTTTGCAGCAAATATTTCCTGCAACAGAAGTGACAATTTTTGTATTTTGCCAAGACAGGAAATTTAGTTAGTGAAAGCAGTAACCCATATTTTGAGATGTTAAACAGGAAGGCAAATTTTTTTGAATTTAAATTGATTTTTGAAGGAAGACTTCATTTAGTCTTGCTATCATTCTACGTGGCCTCTTAACTTTTTTATGGTATTTATAATTTTATTGTTATTCAGCTTTCTGTTTGCTTAGAATGCACATGAATGTAGACTTGAAATATTTTATATTGCAAACTGAGATGCCATTGTTATCATAATTAAAGATTTTTGCTCTGATTTTGGAGGAATTTACTGATAATACTTTTGATTGTGTATTGGTTTCTGGTTTATTGAAATGTGTAAAATAGCCTGTTAATGCATATACGTATGTTAATGACATGTATATGTTTATGAAGTATTCTGTTATATGTATATAGTGTTGTGATTAGTTTTCTGCTTACTCTTTATTTAAGAAAAAGTTATCTGTAAGAAAGCGAATATATTCTTTACTATATGTAGGAGTAAAATTGAAAAGGCTAATGCAATATAATTAATACAAAATTAAGTTTTTTCTCATGTACTTAAATACAAACATAGCCATTAAAGACTTTCTCAACCTTGCAGTTCTAAACAAATCTTAAGTATTTTTTACTTGAAATTATAGGCATTGTGTAAGGTATATAATTGAAGCTTACTGTGTGATAGTATGAAATTAAATTTTTAATTACTGAAATGTAAATTTTTAAATATGAAATACTCAGTGCATTTTATATGCATCTTTTAATACTTCAACTATATTTAAAAACTGAAAACATCTGAAGTGTGAAATTATTACAAATTTTTCTTTTTCTTGTTTAGGAGCTGTTCTCAAAACATTGGGTGACAAAGAATTCACTTTTACAAAAATCGAGCAGGATATTAAAGACAGCGAACTATAGAACAAATATGGCGAAGCTGCATGAAGTCTATGTTGAATTTTATTATTGAAAAAAATATGCTCTTCAGATTTAATGTTAGTTTTTATTGTTTAACAGTAATTGCAGTTTTCGAATACCTGTAAAATAAACCTAATTCTTAAATTAATTTCATGTGTATTTCTTTTGCAAGTATTACAGTTCATAATACTTCAAACAACTTGAAATTTTATACTTGTTAATTTATGTGGGATATGTTCATAATAATTTTATAATTTAAATAACTCATTGTCATCATATGAGCATAATCTAAAATGCACAGCATTTGACAACAAATTAATAAAAAATTAGCCAACTTCTAATTGCTTTCTTTTGTCCAGTTGCCTCTTTTTAAATCATTTAATACCATAAAGCTATTTGATGAAAAAAAAATAATTGGTATGTCCACATCAACATGTACATTTATAATGATGTTATAGAAAAAGTCACATGAGATAAATATTTAAAAACTTCAATATTCCTAAACAAATTAACTTTTTAAAATTTTATCTGGTATATAAGATAAAATAAAGAACATATTTAGGTAATTTTGAATTTGCATAATTTTATGAACTTATTTATGAAATTAACAGTTACATTGTAAAAGGGAACTTTTTAAAAATACCTCAATAAAGCATTTCTTTTGTAGAGGTGAACTTTTAGTACTGATCTAATATATTTATAAGATTTTAAACTGAGAAAGACAACAATAATAGATTACAATACATTGCAAGATTGACTGATAAATGTAAAATTTTTACATATCATAATTATGTGTGTAATTAAAACACAGAAGTTACTCGATTAACTTGCATGCAAATTAATATTTTCTTTAACATGTTTGGGATAAACTGAATTTTAATAAATAAATATGTATAGATTTGTGTATTATCTGAAGATATGAATGAAATATTTGTGACATTAAACATTCATCTTCAAGGAAAATAACAAAGTCAACTTGGTAAACTATTGGAAAAGGTAAGTTTTCTACAATTTCCTGGTCTATATTTAACAATTTTAAAATTTAGCACACTCATTCAAATAATCTAAACGTATGATGTTTTCTTTTGTGCTACATTCGTTTACTGAATTTGTTAATTAACTATATTGTACTTTAGATAGAAATTAACGTAGATATTCCCTGTATTTTACGGTACAAAAACTTATATATTTGATAATAATTGACCTAAATCTTCCCTATGTTTTCTTTGCATATACGAATGACTTTGGTAAAAATCTAGTCTGATGTCTTCTCCTCTTTACTGTGTATAAGTGCACATTTTTGGTAAAAAATTTGCATAAATCTCCAATTACCTATTTACTGCATTTTTTTTTGTAAAATGTGCTTATTTTAATCTCTTATTTTTTATATCCCTCAGGGGGCTCACTTTTGTGAGTACGGGTGTGGCAATCCCGAGGTACCCTAGCCCTTCAGGGGATCATCTTCTTGGTGAGACGGGTGTCACGATCCTGGAGCCCCAGTGATCTATCCTCTTTTCCGTCTCCTCTCCTCTTGGCTGGATCTTTTTCCCTTCCCTTCTCCCTTGTGGTTTCTCTCTACGGAGTTTGGGGCTCGTCACGAGAGGCGAGAACAGACCTTGTTTCTAGTTTTCAAGTGGCGAGAAAACTGCCCACGTGTTTGCCGTGCGTGGAGACCCGTGTCGCTGGAAAGGAGGGTCCTGGTAGTTGAGGGGCGAGGTACTGTCCCCAACACACTGCTTTGGCCTCTGCTTCAGCTAAACGGGAGGCACCTTAGTCGTCCTCACGGGTGTCAATCGGCTGGTCACTAGTCCTTGTGTCAGTGGCTTGGGGTCAAGCTCTCGGGAGTACCTGCTTTCGGGAAAGCCGACTGTGGGGCTTCAGTTTGCGTATAGGTCCGGCTAGCCCTAACACAGGAATCTGTGTTCCCTTGTTGGGCTCCGTGGTGGGCGGGGCCGTCGGACCCGAATCTTTTCTATTTTCAATATGGCAAATACACATATTTTTTTATTAAAAACTTTCGAAGTCACTCCAGTCTCTCACTCAACCTAGTTCTGAAACATCTACTACTAAACCAATCATTCAACCTAGTTCTGAAACATCTCCTACTAAACCAGTCACTCAACCTAGTTCTGAAACATCTACTAATAAACCAATCATTCAACCTAGTTCTGAAACGTCTCCTACTAAACCAGTCACTCAACCTGTCGCTCAACCTAGTTCTGAAAATTCTGCAAAAAAATTACGGACAGATGCAAATAAAAAAATCATAACAATAGTCCCCGTTTCCTAGTAATCTCTAGTCCTTCTGGCGAAATGCATAAGATGTCTCCTTTCGTAATAAACAAATACATCCAGTCTTGTATTGGTGAGCCGAGAAACATAAAGCGTCTCCGCTCCGGAGACTTGCTTATTGATACACACTCAGCCACCCAGTCTGCTTCTTTACTTCAGATTACTAAACTTGGGCAAGCGAATGTCACTGTAACACCCCATAAGTCACTGAACTATTGTCGTGGTGTAATCTCAGAATTCGACCTTCTGTATGTTTCTGAAGAAGAGATCGCTTCTGAGTTATCCGAACAAAATGTCTGCGGTGTAAGGCGGATCAAGATGCGTAAAGAAGGTAAGTTGATAGACACAAAACACGTGATCCTTACCTTCAACACGCCTGATCTGCCTAAGAATATTAAGGCCGGATATCTAAATATTCCTGTAAGACCTTATATTCCAAACCCTATGCGATGTTTCCAATGCCAGCGTTTCGGCCATTCTAAGACGTCTTGTCGTGGCAGCCTCACATGCGCCCGATGCTCACAGATTGGCCACGATTCTGATAATTGTACCGCTGCGCCTTTATGTATAAATTGCAAGGGTGACCACCCAGCATTTTCTCGCTTGTGCCCAAAATGGAAATCGGAAAAAGAAATCCAGACTGCAAAAGTTACTAGGAACATCTCTTACGCCGAAGCCAGAAGACTAGTCCAGAGCACACAGCTTCGACCAAATTCATCATACGCCAGTGCTGTTAAATCATATCGTACAGTCGCCACCCAAACATCAATAGGCACACAGACCCTACCAAATAAAACCCAACCGTCTACATCCAACAAGAAAAAAGAAAATGCAACTCATATAGTACAAAAGAAAGAAACAATTATTCAAAGTAAGCCGAAAACTGCCACACCAAAAATATCAAATAAAAATAGAAGTCGCAGCAATAGCTCTCTTGATGACATGATTTCTGAATCTGCGGATTCAGACTTTATGGAAGTGGAAGAGGGTCTGGAATTTCCCAGGCATCTACTTCCACGAAAAACAAAAGAACAGCACAGGAAAAAAAAAAAACCATTCATAATGGCCACCCTCGTGTCATGGAACTGTCGCGGTTTCCACCGAAATTTGCTTGACATCAAATCTATAATAAATGTGTACCATCCTGTGTGCTTCGCAATACAGGAAACAAATCTGAAACCAGAACACCATGCAAAACTTCGGAGGTTTTCTTTCGTCAGGAAGGATAACCTTGCAGGTGAGCGTGCCAGTGGAGGAGTAGGTCTCCTCTCCTCACTGGATTATCCCTCAAATGTACTTCCTTTGACGACATCCCTCCAAGTTGTCGCTACTCAAATAAATTTTGATATTGTTGTTTCATTTGTTTCTTTGTATTTGCCTCCAAATGAGCACATTTATCAGCAAGATTTAAATAATCTAATAGAGCAGCTGCCTGAGCCTTTTATCATAATAGGAGATTTTAACGGCCATAGTCCACTCTGGGGTAGCAAAGATACAAATTGCCGAGGAAGACAAATTGAGCAGATGATCGAAGATCATAGCCTTTGTCTCCTAAATAATGGGCAAGATACATACTTCCATGAGCCTTCAAGGACATTCCACGCTCTCGATCTTGCCATCTGTTCACCCATCTCTGTTGCCATTTTGCACTTTTAGTGTCGGAAATGACCTGTACAACAGCGATCATTATCCTATTTTTGTGTCTCTTGCACGAAGAGGAGCAAACCCCATGTCGAGATCCCCCTCGATTCATACTGGACAGGGCAGACTGGGAACTCTTCTCTTCCATTGCAGAGCTAACAGATGAAATGGTAGAAGATGGGCATATCGATGACGCTGTTGAAGCTGTTACTAATACTATTACTCAGGCAGCTATGATTTTCCATTCCTAGAACATCAGGAAAACTACTAAAATATTCAAAACCATGGTGGAATCGCGACTGTCATGAAGCACTGAAAAAACAGAAAAAAGCATGGGGTATTTTTCGTAGATATCCTACTCTGCGAAACCTCATAGCTTTTAAAAGAGCCAAAGCAAATGCACGGAAAAGTAAGAAGGCAGAGCCAGAGGGATTCCTGGATTTCATATGTGTCCTCAATAACATCCTCTACGCCTAGTAAGCGGGTTTGGGAAAGAGTTCGAAAAGCATGCGGAATGTATAAAGACCACTCACTTTCCTTTCTGGAAAAAGATGGCCGAGTGATTAGCTCCATAGAAGAAATTGCAAATACAATTGGTGAGACATTTGCTGCCGTTTCTTCCAGCCGAAATTACTCACCTGCATTTCTTTCTATCAAGCAACGCTCTGAGAAAAATCCCATCGCTTTCAACTCTTCCAACTTTGAGCCGTACAATAGAGACTTTACTATGGTTGAATTAAAGAGAGCTTTGTTGCAGACACATAGGTCTTGTCCGGGTCTGGATGGCGTGTATTATGAAATGCTAAAGCATCTGTCCTATAAGTCACTGAGTGCCCTTCTCACACTTTACAATAGAGTGTGGAAGGAGCGTACATTTCCCAGTGCATGGAGGAGAGCTGTTGTCATTCCTATTGCGAAGCCAGGGAAAGACCCGAGGAATCCCTCGAACTATCGGCCAATTGCCCTTACCAGTTGTGTTTGCAAACTGTTTGAAAAGATGGTAAACAGCCGCCTAGTCTACTTCTTGGAAAAGAATAATATTATATCGCCTTATCAGAGCGGTTTTCGAAAGGGGAGAACGACCGTAGACAATATGCTTCTATTAGAGACATCTATTCGAAACTTTGTCAGAAGAAGTCACCTTGTCTCAATATTCTTCGACATTGAGAAAGCTTATGATAAGGCATGGAGATACGGTATACTCCGGGATC